TCCGCGTACTACAGTTGTACTTGCAAGTTCCGATTTTCCAGCCGTACTCTGTTTGCACGTAAAAGATGCGATTTCTGTTTAGAAAAGCTTCCGCGGAAGGCGGGGATATCAAACTCGCAAAAAACCATCAGTTTTTGGACCTCAACCACACGAATCTCCGCAGAGGGTCGCGCGCGCACTGCGCGCACCGCACAAATCGTAAAAGTCTAAATTTTTTGACCTCGACCACACGAATCTCCGCAAAGGGCTAATTTTCGTAGAGTGCTGTCGGCCCTACCCCGCCGCCCTAAGAAGAGAAGAGAGGAATTTAAAACTCGTCACTCTCATGAGCATTGCTCCTCGCCAGTGACTCTCACGAGCATTGGTTCTCGCAAGTGACTCTCTGCTATGACTCTGCGCAATGACTGTCATGATGATATCTCCCATGAATCCCACGGAAAAACCATTCGCCATGTTTTCGGGGAAAAAGGCAACACAAAAAACACACCAAAACAAACACAAAATTACTTGCGCCTGCACAGCCGGGCGCGCACCCGGCTCCCTTTATATAAGCAGGGCTTCGGGAAAAAAACAGGCGACAGAAAAAGGCGCGGGGAAAAAAAGAAAAAACACATGCCGCTCCCTCGCTTTGCCTCGCCGTGCCACTTTCAACCCGGGCTGTAGAAAGTGGCTTGCACATTTAAGCACGGTCTTGAGAGCTGGCCGGTGGGCGTATGGGATATCACTTGTTTGTGAGCAATTTTAGAAAATAAAATTCGTCCACTGCAGTCTCTTCATCCCAAATTGTTGCGACGTAGCGTGACAAAGACACGAGAATACCAGATTGAAATCCGGAAGTGTATGGCGCAAAAAACTACATTGCATTCGATGGTGGCAAGCTTGCGACGCCACAGTGCCAACAGTAAACGGTGGGGCTCCAGAGAAGAATGCTTGATGCACCGTTCGAGGTCGCCAATGCTTCGCATAGGAAGATGAAATCGAAGGAGGCATCGCGAAATTCTGCAGGAAAGTCTTTGCGTTCCTCATGCTTTGCAAGTTAGTTTTACTCTGTTGTAGGTGCTGCGCGTGATGGCGAGCAGACTTGGCTTTTGATGACGTTTTCCCCACTCCACCTCCTCAATGAGCCCGTGCGCCTGGGGCTGACTTGAAATCCACACATGTGGACAGCTTCCCGCCGCGCGTTTTCCCCCAACGCCCTGCTTACGGGGTGCTTCCGTGCACAGGAAGTTTCACGGAAGTTTCACGGGCTCCCTTTTAAGAAGGCAGCTTCGGCCAGCGCACTGCGCAGCGAGCGAGCTGCCAGACAAAGTCCACGCAAAGGATGCGCAAGGTTACAGTTTCGAGGGGTTGCATGCACTTGCTTGTCACGCAGGCTCTGCCACGCAGCTTGGACACAGACTGACAAAAAGAGAGTGCATGTTGCGGCTGCCTATCCATTGTTGCGCTGCTGGGGACATCCGGGACGGCAAATGGCTAGATGTGTTGCTGAGTTTTTCGTGTGTGTGTTTCGGACAGCTCGCAAAGTTCAAAAGGCAGAAGCACGCGCTCCCTTGCAGGAACCTTTGCAAGCCAGTTTGTGGCCTACATCTTTTTCTCCATTCAAAAGAATGTTGCTGGCCCAGAATTGCTGGGAGCCACCTGAGCGGGAAGCGTGACGTGCTATGTAAACGGCACACGCACGGCTCAGCAAAGCTTGCGCGCAATCCGCACGAAGAATTCGCAAACCGGTCAACAAAATCTAGTTTCTGCGTCGCTGTGCGCAAGAACAACGGGCAGACACAAGCGGAGCCGCCGGAGCATTGGCGTTCGTAAGGAGCGGTTACCCCAAGCTTCTACGGAGCGGTCTTACCCCGAGCTTCTTCGGTCCTCTCGGCGCCGGCTGGTCGTCACTGGCGTTGGACGGTGGGGCTCCGAGACTTTTGACTTGCTGCCCGCGCCAAGAGACGCCCCTTCACCCTTGCGCCTTGGCTACTAAGCTGCCCTATCCCCCCTACCCTGAGAATAATATTGAGGATGGAGATAAGTCAATAAAATAAAACGTTTTTGGCTTTAAACGCTCCCCGAACCCTGCCCAAGGCGCCCCAACCGCACCGCCCTGCATGCTTCTCCCGCTCGCTGGGCTCGGGCCCGCGCTCCATGCTGGAGATGATGCGAGCGCACTCCGTGCGCTACGTCTCAGTTGGTTGTAACGCTAACAGTTCGGCCCCCGGCGCAAGGGCATCGCCGAGCATTGTGAGATTTGTGGTTGCGCGTAGCAGCGCGCAAAATTTCGTAAAAGAGCAATGGTACCACCAGAAACCTGCACGCACAACTGCAGCTTGCCGAATTCTGCATGGCCCGGCGCGCAGGTGCTTCGGTGTCGGACGCAGCGCTTCCGCAATTGTTCTCCGTGTTTTTGCATCGCTTCAAAGAACGCTAAGCGCTGGCCGGCGGCAACGTGCTTCAACTTGATTTAGTGTGTATCCGCCGCACCCGAAACCTTGCTGAACGCTGCTGGGCGGGATGTTCAAGTTGGGCTCACGCAGCGGACGAGAGCTTGCCGGGCACAAGGGCGCAGCTGCAGAGTCGTAACTCCAAGAGGCAAATTTGTAATCAAGCGGCTGGGGCATTAAAAGCAGATTTCAAATTTGCGTTTTCATCCAATTGCGGAACTGCAGCTTTCAGAAAGGCGCACTTCCCCGAAACGGTTTTTTTCCATTGAGTCTGCTTACCGCCACTGGTAAGCAGACTGCGCACTCGGATCAATTGATTTCAGCCAATATCCAGCCCTCGGATGGTCATCGTCGGTAAGCAGACTACATGAAAAAAACAGTTTCGCGAAACTGCTCTTTTTGCCGAGCTGCAGCTCTGCGCATCATGACGCATCTGGTTTGCATTCTTTCTGGCCAAGGCTTCGCGTGGCAGATGATTCGGCAGTTTCGAGGAAGTGCGCCTTTTTTTCTTCCGAAAGCTGCAGTTCCGCAATTGGATGAAAACGCAAATTTGAAATCTGCTTTTAAGGCCCCAGGCCGCTTGATTACCAATTTGCCTCTTGGAGTTACGACCCTGCAGCTGCGCCCTTGTGACCCGGCAAGCTCTCGTCCGCTGCGTGAGCCCAACTTGAACATCCCGCCCAGCAGCGTTCAGCAAGGTTTCGGGTGCGGCGGACATACATTAAATCAAGTTGAAGCACGTTGCCGCCGGCCAGCGCTTGGCGTTCTTTGAAGCGATGCAACAATAGGGAGAACAATTGCGGAAGCGCTGCGTCCGACCCGTAGCATTGAGCTGTGGCCCATGCGCCCGCGGCACGTCTCTTTTCAGACTGCAGCACGCCTTGTGTAAGTAGTTTGGCTTGTTTTCGGAAAATTGGTCAACAGGGAGGAGGGCCAGCTCCTTGCCCTCTGCGCCCTCCCACCTTGCGACAGTACGCCCTACATACCGCTTTCCTTTTTCTTTCTCACTAATTTTCTTTTCTTGCCCAATCATCTCCTTTTTCTTTTATTCCTTGAGGTGCTTGCCAGCCGGCTTCGGGCGCACACTTTGCCTGGCTCCCATGTTTGGTGTGCCCTGTTTACCAGCCGTTGTGTGATTGTCTCTTGGCTTGATTGACACCCCGGTGTGAGTTGGCGACCCAACCTTGCCACCTGAGCAGCAGGAACTCTGCTTTTGTTTTGTGCGTTGCCTTGCCGCCTGTGGCTTCGCTCGCCTTTGCGGAAGCCTATGGCGCAGCTGTCACCGCCTGCCTTGCGAATTTGTTAGGGGCCGGCCCGCTCCTGGATTGCATGCTCCGCCTGCTCAGCTCCCTTTCCAGCAATGTAGCCTCAATCTGCGGGCCGCGGCTGCCCTCGCTCCGGCAGCCTATTGGGCTTCCTGGTCCGCACTCTTCCCGTCCTGCACCGCCAGCTTGCACACTTCGCTGCCGCTGTTGTCGCCAGCCTTGCGGCCGGCGAGCCCATCAGCCCCGTCTCCGGGGCCTGCTCCAGTCTCAGGAAGCGCTTGCCACAGCGGGTTTGCTAAGCCCACGTGGGATGCTGTGATCCTCGGTGCCGAACCGATGAGCCGGGCGATCACCGTTGGCCTCGTTCGCCGCTTGGTGCACGTCCGGTCCCTTCGCGCCCCGATTGCGCCGCTCTGCTTGCGTTGCGTGGCAGCGACGGTGGTGGGGCCTCCTTGGCGTGGCCCTTCAACGCAGTGGCGTCCACCTTGCGTGCGTCCTGCTGCGTCCTCGGCGCTGGGGATTTGCCTCTACGGGGTTAAGAATGCTTCGCGCGAGGAAAAAGTAATTAAAGGGTCAAGACTGCCTTTGCCAGCAAACATCAACTTCACAGGACTCAGCAAACAATATTGATGCCGTAATAGCTGGAACATGCTTGGTTTAGACAAGATATGTTCATCAGCTCTGCTATAATTCCGTTTAGGCATTTCAGGCCTCAAAACGTGTTGAATGGGGCAGCATATGAAGCCGAGTAGGCGTGTGAACAAGTTGCGGGGGCGCGATTCTCTCTCCGCCCCTCTGTCTTGCACACTTGGCGATGTCCCATGTTGATGCCCCTACAACGCTGCTTCCAAAGGAACAAGCACCACAAAAACCACGCTTTACTGTACTAAGTAACTCTCTTTCTATATGTTGCAATGTCGCACTCGCACGCAGCAGAACACATGTACACACTGCTACAAGGATCGACTCGCGCAAGTCATCGAAGCGGTTGTGTTTGCACAATTTGTGTGCTTTGCCAATCAGGCAGGACAACAGCACTTATTTTTGGCAAGTGCATCACGTATGTACTCTTCAGTCCACATTCGACCCCTCTCAATGTCAATGTATTTTGTGACGCACATTATTACTCGTGCCTTGGCGCAAAACACCCAAAAGGAACACACGTTAGATGCTTCAGGCAGCTTTGACCTGGTCAGTGCTGTGTTGCCAAACGAACAAACCAGTTGTTCAAGAGCACGATTGAAACTGCGATTTTCGGCTACAAGCTGCAAGACAGGGAGGGCTCTCAGGATTTGTTGGCCGTATGAATGTGGGCATTCCCAACCGGCGACCGGCGCAGCCAACTCAAAATGCGGCGGCTACGCGCCCAAGGTCGCCGGAGACCAAAGCCAATACCCGCGCACGTTCACCGGCTTTAGGCAAAGCTTCGGCCATTCCAAGTGGCACGCGACCTTCAGTTGCATCAAGCAACGTCTCGACCGGAGTGGCAGGCCTGGCGGGTGCATCACTTGAACAAATGACAGCCAGGGCATTGTTTGGGAAAGTTCGCAACCTTTGCATTTGCTCCCGTGCTACAGGCGCCGGAGCCAAGGGGCAGCAACCCAATGTACGTCGTGTCCACAGCTCCACAGTCGAGGATTGCATTTTCGCCTTGCGACATGGTTTGTGGTCAACCCAGTTGTCTACGAAACAGAAGCGCAAACTTTGGCTACGCAACTTCCTATTTTTGAGCCCAGAGGCAATGCTTTTGCACAGGCAATTCACTCGAATCTTGAGGTTTCCCCAGATGTTTGGGATGTGTTGCTGCTACATACTTGGGCCGACTCAACACGTAGAAGTTTTATTTTGTAGGTGTCGGACTTGTTTTTTGGATGTGTTTGGTCCGCCTGCGGCCCCCGTTCGATGCGGCGCTGTCAGGAGATCCGCCGCATCGACGCGAACCGCGAGCAGCGGCGGCGCCAGGCAGAGGAGGTGCGGCGGAACCGGCAGGAGGAGCAGGCAGTTCTGTCTGCGTACCAGGGCGGCAAGCCAGGATTCGGTCTAACAAAACCATGGGTCAGTGTTTCTTTTTGGAGGGTATGTCCTTTGGGGGGGAGGCTAAAAGATCGAAACACACCCCATACAATAATGTTGGAGGGCGGAACAGGTACTGTTGTTCATACTGTAATTCATTCCTCATGTTTTTTTCTTAGCCAACCGCAATCATGTCCGTGCTATGTTGGGTGTTTGGACCAATATGCCTGAAGCCTGATGTAATTCGCATGCAGGCTTCAGGTTTCTTTGAAGGGGCAGTGGAAGCGTTGACGTAGAAAAGGATAGAGAAGGGGCATGTGAACGGGATTCCGGACCAAGACCATTTATCTGACTTAGGCAGTGTGGTGGACATGTTCCAGACATCGACTTCCATCGCATGATCCACAACTTTCGGCAGCAGTGTCCTCAAGCTGTGTCCTTCGAGCCACTGGACCCTTCAGTCCCTGAGGGCATCGTTGTTTGTGTGCGGAAGCGGCCCATCTCGCAGCCGGAGATCACCAATTGCGAGCTGGATTGCGTGACAGCCTGCAATCCGTACGCCATTATCCATGAGAGACCCGGCATGTTTGCAGTAGCCTTCGTAGTTGGTGCTGTTCTTGCTTGGCGTCTTGCTTAACTACATGATTTTCATGCCATTTGCATACGCACCAAGGAGAAAATTCAAAGTAGATGGTATCACCAAATGCCTGGAATCACACCAGTGCCTCGCTTGCAAGCAGCACGCTTGATTGCTTTGAACAAGGCTGGGCATGCCAAAAAGTGTTTGCAAATGTTGGTTGCGGCGATGTCCCGTCGCTATGCACGGCCTATAGACAAGTGCCGACGGCTGTTCCCACCCATATCCGGCCTCATCCGGCCCATGCGGTTTGTTTACTTGGCTTTTGGTGGAGGTTTCATGGAATTCGCGATGGATCAGGTTTGACTTCCGTCCTCTGCTTTTTTTGACCGCTGTCTTTTCTTTTCTTTGCTTTTGAATTTTCGCGCGTGTGAGGTTTGAATTCGACCACGTCTTCGATGAGGACTGCAGCACCGACGACGTCTACCGCACCGTGGCCTCGCCTTTGGTGCCCTGGGCCTTGGCCACCGCCGGCAGGGCCACGCTCTTCGCCTACGGCCAGACGGGCTCGGGGAAGACCTTCACCATGACCGGCATCCAGCGGCTGCTGACGGAGCAGATCTTCGAGCACCTATGCCGGACCTATGGGGTCCAAGAAACAGAGGACGAAAAAAATCGAAACATCCTGCAATGTATTCAGTAGAACCCATTTGGGGGGGATAGTTCTGAAACTGGTGACCGGAAGAAAGTGGGTGCAGTTGCATTGAATTCCATTCAGGGCTTCTCAGCCATGTGAACTAATCAATCTAAGTGGGCTTTCCGTTGCCGAGAAAGTGCATGTGTATGTTCATCGAGGCATGTTCGACAGTATTCTCACTTGGACCTCGCAGTGTCCCTATCCTTCTTCGAAATCTATGGTGGCCGACCTTATGATTTGCTCAACAACCGGGCAAAGCTGGAAACCTTAGAGGCCCGGCTGCAAGTTGCCCTCCCCTTGGTGTTCAGGCGTGTTTTGGTCAGTATAACTTTCCACTTGGAAAGCTATATCTTTGTGCCGAGGAAGACGCCAACAACGAGGTGCAGATCGCAGGCCTCGTGGAACGCGGAACCTCGGGCCCGCAGGACATGATGCAGTGCATCGACCTGGGGAACTCGGTGCGCACCACGCAGAGTACTGCCATTAACCGGGATTCCTCCAGGTCACATGCTGTTTGCGTGGTCTTTCTGCGCAAGAGCAGCTTGGATCAAACAAAAGATGACAAAAGTAAAAACTGTGTAGTTCGTGGATTTTCCTAAGATGCTTGCGATTGTGTTGAGCATGTTGAACAGTGTGTTGAGTGTGGCTCCTTGAGTTGGCACAGCACCTTGCTGCCAGGTAGTGGACACATCCACGGCAAGTTGACCCTCGTCGATTTGGCTGGGTCCGAAAGAGCCGCAGATGCCAAGTCCAGTATTCGACAGCGGCGGGTCGAGGGTGCGCAGATCAACAAGTCTCTGCTGGCATTGAAGGAATGCATCCGTGCGATGGGAGATCCACGAGAAGCTCACGTACCTTTCAGAGCTTCAAAATTGACATTGGTTCTCAGGGATGCTTTCATGTCCCGATGTCCGGCAAAGACCGTGATGATAGCATGTATCTCTCCCGGGATGACCTCAGCGGACCACAGCGTCAACACCTTGCGCTACAGCGACCGCTTGAAAGAGCATCCACGAGGAGGCAAAATTGTGGAGGACGCCGACACGGCAGCCGGGCGCCGGCTATCCACCGGTGTGGTCTCGCGCGATGCCAAGAGCCCAGAGCGCAGATACCAACGCCGGAGCCCATCACCAAGCACAAAAGCCGAACGCGACCGTGCCATGGGCGCAGCCTTCAGGGGGAGACCCAGCAATCCACCTCCCGAAAAGGAAGAGACGCTGGCAGACTTGCCATCAGAGGAGGAGCTTTTGGATGAAGACGAGGAGGAGCACCTGGCACCTGCACCAGTGCCTACAGCCCCTCCAGCCAACTCCCAGGTGCCTCAGGCATGGGCTGAGAGCCGTCAGTGGGAGGACAAGATTGTGTCGCACCACATGACAGCCCTGCAAGAGGATGCCCGCCTTCTAACTAAGGAGAGCGAGCTACTATCGCAGGTGCAGCAGGGTGCTGCTTGTGATATTGAGTGGTACGTGTCGGAAGTGGACAAGCTTGTGAGGAGGAAGTTAGACGTCTATGTGAACTTTATGGAGGACTTGGAGGCCTGCAAGGCTCAGCTGAGACGTGAGGAGGGCCGCCGCAGGCACGAGAACTCCGTGAACTCTGCGCCCTCCACCCTGAACATGTCTCAAGCTTCGCCCAGGCTACACGCAGCCATGGATGCCCTTCCGCAGCGCACGCCACGCACCCCAAGGCTTCATCATGGTGAGGCACCGAGTGATGTACGATGATAGGGGAAAGATAAAAAAATGCTCGCAGGGAGGGCGCATGCTCGCAGGGAGGGAGAGGGAGAGGCAGAGCGAGAGGGAGGGAGAGAGAGAGAGAGAGAGAGAGAGAGCCAACAACAACCTGACACGTTGCAGTTGGCATCATAATCGTGTCGCAGCTGGCTCAACAAGGGCCTGCCCGTATATGTTAGAGACGGCACTCAGTTCACATAATTCTGCAGCCCACTGCAGCCGCCCTTGTTTCCTTTTCTCCTCGGCCTGCATTAAACGGTCCATTACTCAACATTGCTCAACAAGTGCAAGCAGGCAGCTTCATATGTTTTTTTTTAGAATCCACTAGGTTGGGCCACATGGTGTGTCAGCTTTGCCTCAGGTGGGCATGGCGTAAGCTGCGTCGGATTGCGTGCAGAGGTTGAAGCATACAGCGGTAAGTGGTTGTGAGGTAAGGTGCCACAGCCATAATTTTGGGGCTGTGGATATCATGGTTTCTCCAGTCCGTTTGGGATGGTGATGCAATGCTTCCGCCGAGGCACTGATGACGCCATGCCAAGCCCAACCAACTCTGGGCCAAAGTCGGGCAGCCCAAAGCAGTTTGAATGCTTCAACGGTTTCCACTCATTGTTGGTTTACGTGCATTTGATGTTGCGATTGGCCTTAGGCTGGCGAAGGTCCTGTCAAACGAAGAAAGAGGTGCGGGACACATCAGAAGCGGAAGAAACGACGCTGTGCTGTGCCTCGCATTTTTCCTTTCCCCAACCTTCCTGAGCCACGTTGTGGGTTTGTGGAGGACCTCAAGGGACTGATGAGGAGCAGCTGGCTGCATGCTTAGCATGTTCTGGATTGGTGCCAATCTATGCAGCCGCCCGTGCTGACAATGGGATTTCGGGTTTGGCACGTCGTTTTCAGGTCTGGGTCTATTGCCAGGGGGAACAGGAGAAGAAGGACGTTTTCTCCTGCTGCTCCTGCCTTGGTTGTTTTGCCAACCTTTGCGTCCCAAGTGTCAAACGAACCCTTCACGCTCCTTGAGTACCAGAATGTTGCCAAGTCCCATCTTCTCAAGGGTGCATACCCCCCTCTTGGCAAAAAAAAAGGCATGAAGCGCGGCCTTGGGGTCAACACAACCGGGGCATGCGACCACCAGCCGCCCACCGCTCGCTGGAGGCCAGCAGAGCCAGCGCCCAAGGCGCCGCGCTCGAGAACAGGCGAAGGGCACCACCTGGGAGTTGCCGGGGCCCTGGGGCCCTGGGCCTCGAATTCGGCCAGCGCGGTCCCGCCATGCGTGACGAACTGGAAAAGCCACTCCATTTGTACATGACTAAACTAGAATGCATATGAATGCATGACTCAACTTGAAAGCCAAGCTATTCATGTGCTGCTTGGCTGCAGGCAGTTGTTTGACGTGCATTGAGGCTCCTGCGATCAAGCTTGCCCACCGTGCCAGCGCCGTACACCTCAGCTGTGCCCCTGTCATGATTCTTATGGGATGGAATTTGCTGAGCGCGCTTGCGCGAGTGGCCGGGCCAGGAGCGCGAGGCCTTTTGGGCGGATGTTGGCGCCTTGCTGGATGCCAGTGCTGCGGCGGCCGGGGGCCAGTCACGGTGGCCCAACCTGCCTAGCCGCCATGGTTGGCCTCAGGAATCCTCAGGAGGGGATTCTCGGATAGGCTTGGCACGCATTTGCAGACTGGCCAGGCTTGTGACGGATAGCGAGAACTTGTGTCAGGCCAGGCGAGGAGTCAAGATTCGGAGTTTGGTGCCTGTCGCTACCAGCAGTCATCATGACACGAGCGTTGAGAGGTGGCAGCACTTGGGCACATCCGCAGCAAGTTGGCGCAGGTGGATGCTTGGATTTGCTACCCTGCTTGCGTTGAGAATCTGTCCGCTTGCAAGATTTTTGGGGCACTTGTGGGCAAGGTTTGTTCACAGTGCAGTGGCAAGTCCTGCATCAAATAGCAGTTGCTGCGTGTGGTTGTGCTGGGGCCTGCGGCTTGTTCGGATGCAGCCTCCGCAAAGCTTTCCCGATTGGCAACTAGAACGACATAGGATACAGAACCAAACGGCGCGTACATACTCAAAAAGGTTGAACCTTCGCCTTGCACTACTTGAAAGCGGCTGCGCGTTGCTGAAAAGAGCACCTTGGGCACAAACCCAGGGCAGCAGACGACAAGCTTGGCAATATCTCAAGCCTCCCGCCATGGAGACGTTTTCGTGGACATGGATCTTTGATGACCTTTCCTTCGCGCATGGCGTGCCCCGGCAAAATTTGCAGTGTATAGGAGGGCATGTGTCTGCCCACACACTTATGGGAGCTGTCAATATGGCGATGCAATGCAGCTTCAGCTGGTATAGGGGTTTGGTTGTCATCCGGTTTTCTAGCTGTTGTTCCCTTGGGCGTGTGTCTGCCGCCTTGGAGAGTGGGAGCACGCATCACTTCTTTTGCGCACAGCACATCACGCGCTTAGGTCTGCGCACTCGCCCTGGGGTTGAGTGTTCTGGCAATTGTCCTTTTGGCGGCTGCCTCAGTTTTGCGGAGAAAACGGGGGCATCAAGGGCATCAAGCTGATTGACGGCAGGTCGTCGCTCTCATACACTCGTTTGCCCAAAGGGTCGAGAGCTGCAGGTGGTGCAGCGAATGAGCAGTCCACAGCCATTGCCAATCTACCTTTCACGAAGGACCGGCAAAAGCTACGGAGTGCCTTGTGGCAAACCACCGCAATTGGGCTGAAGCAAGCGGTTCCAAACGTTTCCAACATCGCCAGGGTTTGTGCGATATGGCTGTGGGTCAACACCAATGGTACCATTTTTGGGGTAGGTGCACCACTCATTTTAGTCTGTTTTAGTGGTTGGATTGGGATGTTCACTTGGGGTACGATTTGGCTTTTGACTCATGGCCATATGTCCAGGGTCTTCGCCGCACACCTTTTCGCGTGCCTCTTCCTAGAGCTGGGGAAGGTGCGATTTTGTTCGACCTGTTGCTTTGCGACAGGGTGCTACCTGAGGCGCTGGTTTGGCATGAATTGTCGACATGGACCATGGCACTCCACGTCCTCTACTTCGGTCTCTGCGAGCGAGGGCAGTTTGGCCCTTACCCTGCTGACACATCCCCACTCCCTTCATAATGGAATTGGGGAGGGGGGAGTGGCCCCAGAATTCCATATATGGTTCCATTGTCCCTGAACAAAATCTGGGGAGCCCTCCCCATAAGAAAAGCGGGGATGCGGGGATGCGAGCGATAGCAGCCCTGTACTACTGTTTGGATGGACACGAGGCCGTTGCTGACACGACTTCTGCATGGACCCAGCTTTGGAGGTTCGCATGCAATTCTGGTCACCTATTTGCTGGGCCCTCGGCCTGCTTGAATCCTTTGGCAGTCCCAGGTTGGCATGCTGAGGTTCAGTATGTTGACCGAGCGCTCGACCAGTGGGGGACATGCTCTTAGCCATGAGTGTCAAACTTGTGCAGAAAATGTGTGCGGCCTGCAAATATTTGCAAAGCAAATCTTGCCGCATGTTGACGTTAAAAGTGCCTGCTGGGATCCCCATCACCAGATGCCAGTCTGAGGGCTTTCGATCCTTCAAATGGCTTGGAGCTTCTGGCTGCACACGGTGCCCTGTGCACTGCACTGGGCTGATGGCCTTCTGAACTTCAAGGACTCTTTGTCCATTTGTTGATTGGTGCGGGAGGTTTCCTGCTGGTGTTTCAGATTTGCACAACAGTTGTTTGGCAAGGTGTGGGGTTCCTTTGTATTTCCGAAGGGCTGATTTGCATTGGGCGCTGCGTAGGGGGCTCTTGGGATTTAGCCTTAGTGTTCACATGCGCCATGCCGGATGCGCCACAGGGTTGGGTCGCATCCGTGTGTTTGAAAGGTCTTGTCCGGGGTCTTGTCCACAAGCACTTGCAGGTTGCATGGTTTGCACGTTGGCCAACTTGTTGTTGCATGCTGTGTTCCGTGGAGATTGCTTCCTTGCCAATTGGCATCTTGACGGACTGGTTTTCGACGTGTTTTCATTGAAATATGGACATATCTTGGCAGTGACTTTTGGCTTGGTGCCTGGTCTGCGTTTCATGCGGGAAGCCTTGCCGCACATAAGTGGCGGTGACTTTGACGGTTCTCTGAAACATGCCCTTGATGGCAGGACCTGCAAGCAGCCTACTCCCCGCCCATGGCAGGCCAGGCCGATTGCAATGTTCCGCCGCAGTGGGGAGGCAATTGAACGTCGTTGGTCTGAAAGGGAGGCAAAATGTCCATGGAGTCGTCGGTTGCAGAACGAGAAGTTGCTTGAACACTTGAAGTGGGCTGACAACCTTGTCGATCACGAGGAAAATACCCAGGCTGCGGCAATGCAAGAGGAACCCAACTCACCAGCACCTGCCAGCTCCGCCAACTGCCAGCTCCAAAATCGACTTGATCCTGTCGCGGCACATTCCTCACAGCCCAGCATTCCTGTCAGCCAGCGCGATGCTTTTCTTGAAGGGGCCTCTTCCAAGCATCTGCTTGGGAAGGAACTACTCAGGTGGTGTCACCTCCATTTGGGACGCTGGCGGCTTGGTGCCCGCCCTCCGCTTCGCGGGCGCTCGCACCACGCTGAGGGTTTGGTGCCTCGGGCTGGCAATTGTCGCCGGGTCGGCAAGCCGGTCGTCACGGCAAAGGTTCTGTGTTGAAACACGTGGCGAACAAACCGGCTGGCCACTGGCACGATATTTTTGGCCGTCTGTGAAGAGGTGCATTGCTGTGATAGATGTTCAACCTTGCAAAGAGGGATTCATTGCAGACGGTACCGCGAACATCCGCGAACTGCA